CCACGAGATACTATGTCGTGGCCACGAGTAACTAAGTCGTGGTCACGAGATACTATGTCGTGGCCACGAGTTACTAAGCCGTGGCCACGAGATAGCTAAGTCGTGGCCATGAGATACTATGTCGTGGCCACGAGTTACTAAGCCACGAGATAAATAAAAACACATGTCACCCTTGTGCCACCGTAAGTATAGGTAGAGTAGAAATTGTTTCATTTTCTGTTTTCTTTTTCCTTTTTCTCTGTAATAGGTATGGATATACGGTGGCACAAAGGTGACATGTGTTTGTTTTTATTTATCTCGTGGCCACGAGATACTATTGGCCACGAGTTACTAAGTCTTGGCCACGAGATAGCTAAGTCGTGGACACGAGATAGCTAAGTTGAGGCCACGAGATACTATGTCGTGGCCACGAGTTACTAAGTCGTGGCCACGAGTTACTAAGTCGTGGCCATGAGATAGCTCAGTCGTGTCCACGAGATAAATTACCAATCAGATTACACCATTTATATGAATTTCCCTAATTAACTAGACATGTGCTAAAGTACAATGGTGTCCCTACTTCACAAGCCTGTAAAGTGCCATTTTTACAACTTATTGACTGGTCAATAATTTTACATTTAGTGTCACTATGACCCTGATTTTTGACCCAATGACCTCCAAATTATTAGATGTCATCTACTGATCAGGTGCAATGATCTTCCTGGGTTATATAAACCATGGCTTATCCCTTCTAAATAATTCATCATACAAAGATTAACCTTATAGGCTATCTACTGTCCATTGGCAATGTCTCTTCCAGGACTTATTCTTTCTCATGTTATCGTATAAACAAGGTTAACAGGCCGTAGTACGTACAAACTGACCAATTCGATCACAAAATTGTCCCAACAAAGAGCTATGATGGACCTTGGAAGATTACATTCTAATATGATCCTAAAGACAAGTTCAAAGTGCATATCTTCAGTATTTTCAAAGATTATTGTTGCATGTTAAAGTACGTTATAAAGTTTGAAAAATTCATAATATATATATAGTGTATTCTGATTGGTTAATTATCTTGTGGCCACGACTTAGCTATCTCGTTGCCACGACTTAGTAACTCGTGGCCACGACATAGTATCTCGGGGCCACGACTAAGCTATCTTGTGGCCACGACTTAGTAACTCGTGGCCACGACTTAGTATCTCGTGGCCACGACTTAGCTATCTCGTGGCCACGACTTAGTAACTCGTGGCCACGACATAGTAACTCGTGGCCACGACTTAGCTATCTCGTGGCCACGACTTAGTAACTCGTGGCCACGACGTAGTATCTCGTGGTCACGACTTAGCTATCTCGTGGCCACGACTTAGTAACTCGTGGCCACGACATAGTATCTCGTGGCCACGAGATAAATAAAAACACACATATGTCACCTTTGTGCCACCGTATGGATAGCTATCACTATTGCAGCGTGTTGTTTTTGTCCTGTGCTCTCTGTTGGTCAATGGCTTTATAATAATTTACAATGTTTAATACAATTAAACCTGTATAAAACTTTTTTGCGTCACTCAGTGAGGTAAAAGGATGGCATTTTCACTTCCTTCTTGTATACAAATATATAATTTCTCTTCCTTCTTGTATAATAATATATAATTTCACTTCCTTTTTGTATTTTTTATACATAATTTCACTTCCTGCTTGTATTATTATATTTTCAATTAAACCATTTGGATATTTTATTTCAAAGATATAGTTGTCAAACTTGAAATAATTAAGTCTTTGAAAAAGCCATAGAGCTTGCCTGTTAATTGTCATGTTGAAAAAGAGAAACATTTAACAAACATTTTTAGATTCATGCTAATTTTCAAGAAAATTTTGAAAATGTATTAAAAAGTAAAATATTGCGGAGTGAACAAAGTAAATAATGTTTAAAATTGCAAACGACACTTACAGACCGTAAAATTAACAAAAAGAGGTCAAAATATGAAAAACTTGCCCGTACTGCGTTAGTAACGCATTAAGAAAGATAGTGTAAATTACTGCAATTGGTCATAAATGGCACATTACATGAAAATTATTCCATTTATCTTGAATCCTTTTACTTTTCTTAAAATCTTAGTAATTTTTGTCAAGTATGATTTTCTTTTAATATTTTGGCTCATCTGGAGGCATGCAGCTTTTAACTTTGAATTAGTTTAGAATACAACGGCGAAAGCTTGCTATTACAAGGACCCAGGTCAATATTTCCCCCCAACGTGTGAAATGTATCTCACACCTTTTAAGCTGAACGCCACGAAATGAGCCAAAACATTTAAAGAAAATCAAACTTGAGAAAAATGTTCTAGAATATCTAAAACTTTAAGAAAATTTAATTCAAGTACATGTACATGTAATATTTTACATTTTGGGTGCGATTTATGTTTTTTCCCCATTATTTTCCACCATATTTCTTTTGTGTGACTAACCCAGTTAAGGTTGATTTAGCATAGTTTGACACTTTCTGGTGGATTGTTAGTGATAATTGCAATGTGTAAATTATTTTCTTTGTTCACTTCACAACATATTAAAAAAAATTCATGAAAATAAGAATGAATCTGGAGGCATGATGCTTTAAGTTTTGCAACGACAATATTTTAAGTGCAATTAACTGAAAACCCTTATTTGATAAAGAGTTGGCCAATTTGGATTTTTTTTTAAGTTCAACTGTCTTTTTAGTCATTAATGTGAATACTATTGAGCATGCATTTGATACATTGTATACTAAATAATTTATATTATATAAAAGACCTATTCATATTAACTATTTACACACTTAATCAATGGTCAATAACCTGTGACTTTAGTATAAAATGATTTACAGTATTAAAGTCTCTTCCTATAGTATTACCAAATTTCAAACGGCAAAATTGAAAACGAAAAGCTCGGACGGGGCCTCATTATGCCGGCTCACCACGGCGATTCGGTATTAAGTAGGAAACACTAGAAAACAACCTAAAACAACTCTTAATTTTAACCGAAGCTTCCAGTTATTTATATGATTCAACTGTATAAGCTAGACTCCAAAATTTATTTGGTCAATCAAATTTAATCTTACATATCGGCTAAAAACCTTCAATTTTGACGCCATTTTTAAAAAGCAGCAAAAATTGCTTTAAGCGCAAAGATATGATAATGATTTAAAAAAAATATAGCTTTCATGATTTCTTTAAAAAAATGTATAGTTACACTTACATTTGAAGGAGTCAGCAGATTGTACATCGGTGTAACATGATTACATACAAGTCAAGTTGGAATTTGGGCTCAGACCCCTTCATTTTAGCACATTTTGATAAAAAGAGTTTTTTTAGAAGAAAACTCTTGAAGGAGTCAACAGATGGTAATATCTTTTGGTACACATATGTTACATTATAAAAAATGCAGGTCATTGATGTTCAAATTTGGGTTCAGACTTCTAAATCTTTATGGTATGCCTCTTTTAAGCTTCAGATTTTCGAAAAAAGTTTCCAGATGATAACTGCTGAAGTAGTCAAAAGATTGTTACACTTTTTACTACACAGATGTAATATCATAAAATACAGGTCAAGTTTGAAGTTAAGTTTAGACCACTATTTTTTTACATAGTTAGGTCCCCCTTTGGCACAAAATTAAGTGTTTAGATGATTTTTTAAAGGAGTCAATTAATTGCAATCATTTTTTTGTAGTTTGTTGAAACAATATGAAATACAGTTCAAGATCAAATATGGATTAACGCCACTAAATCTTTACATAGTTATGGCCAATATCATCATCATTTATGCAAAAAATGTTGCCTCCACTTAATAACTCTTTATCAAGTCAATGGATTGATATTATTTTTTAAAAATAGATGAAACATGTTTAAATACATGTGGAGTTTTAATTTTGGTTCAGACCACTAATATATTATAGTTTTTGCTCATGTTGCAAAGAATAAATGCGTTTTTAAGGAGTCACTTGATTTAAAACAGTTTTCATTTAAGAACACGACTGAAACTAATGAAATACAGGTTGAATTTTAAATTGGATTTAGATCCCTAAAAATTTACATAGATATTACAATCTGTTAAGGAGCAAGGAGATGAGTTCCAAAAGATAACTGTAAGGAGTCAAAGGATTGTACACTAATGAAGCATCATTTAATACACGTTGAGTTCAAAGTAAAGGCACATACCATTAAATGTTTGGATAGTTTTGTTTAATGTTCATTGTTTTGATGATTTAAGAACTTTCTGGATGCAATTATCTGTTCAATGTGGTCTTATTTTTTAAACAACATCTCTTGTAACCAATCTTTACAGGAATGATCCTTCGATGGTTTCCTTTCAAAGTAAAAAACACACATTTAAGCCCAATTTTCTCAAACTTAAATGCCTAAAGCTTCAATAATTTACATATGGTACCACTACAAAATATATATGTATCTTAATCATGTCTCTTGTTCCACGACCAAAGGGGGTCATGATTTATATATGTACCTGCATATAAAAATTATGTTTAAGTCTTATTGTAGCTCAGAGATGTAGCATGACTTGTGAACTTATAATAAAAAACAAATGTTAACTTATCTTGGTCTATGAGTCAACATTCGCCGAGCCCAATGGGTTACTTATTCCAATGCTAAATAACCTATAACAATTAAACTTCAATTAAACTTCATATGTGGGGACACCTTGATGAGTTCTACATACATTTTGAGGTCTAAAGGGCAAGGTTACTAGGACCTAATATTTAAAAAAAATCACCAGACCATTAAGTTAAAGGGCATATCGAGGATTGACTGCAAAGTGCAGTATCTTATTGGAAATAAAGAAGGACTTACAACAGTTTTGCGATCCACTCTCAATATACAAAGAGACTTTATTCTTTCTTTGTGAGTGCATCTTGATATAGTCCTCAGGTGCCCTCCTTGTTGAGTCCATCATTGATTGTTGTTTAACTGAGAGAGCTGTCAAATTGACATATTAACACTTTACATGATATAAAAATGACAAAAACGCGAGTGGCTTCTAGCTTTTATTAAAAGCTAACATTGTCAATAATTTGAAACAGGAAATGACTGCTTAGATAAATAAACAGATTATCAGATTTGTTATCCAGAGGTGTCTGGTATGATCCCCTTTCTCCGTGGTAATTGACCTCAGACAGTAGGTGTAGTAGTCATTTGTCTCTCACCACTGATTCAGACATAATGATGGATAAGTAGTTTGTAATTTGTGGAAGTTTGTAAGTTATCAGTAGAACCTTATATATTTAACGATGGATAAAAACAAATATAATAAAAATCCTGGATGAACCAGAAAAAAACCATAAAAAAACAAACAAACAAACAAACGTTTTGCAAAACGTTTAGAACCAAAAATCTTTACAAAAGTCAACCCTTAAAATGCTCAAACATTAAAGAATTTTACAAACTTACAAATATACACATGCACATGTATTTCTTTGAAAATAATACTATTAAAAACATAACGTTGATATACTTTCTGATCTCTACTACATCACGAAGAACACACATGCGAATGATTAATGAATCCGTGTCATTATTTAAATTAAAGCCTGATTTGTATATATTCGTCTTTAATTCTCTCAGATTTGTCTACAAAAAAAAAAACTTTTGTAAATTTTCTTATTTTTTGTAACAGTGAGCTTGACCATAGCAGCCTATTCTCAAAGTTGAGATATTGAGGCATCACATGTAGCTACGTTATAAAGTTGAAGACACACTATTTTATGTACATGTACTTTAACGCGAACATTGGTCCTCATTTGATAAGGTCTAAAACTGATTTACAAACATTTTCCCATGTTGTTTTCATTTTGTATTCACCGTTTTCAAATGTCCACACAATCCTTACATTCCTTTGGTATACCTCTCTCATAGTTGGTGGCATCAGTTCTTGCTCCACTTGTTCAATAAACATCAAAATGATTGGTTTCCCTTCCATGAACGCTTGCTCAAGTTCACCTCTACAATAAACACTTTGACAAAAGTTTTCCGAAGCTACTACAATTAAAACGGACGCTGTCGCCAAGCGTCTGCACGTCTCATTTTGAACATAGAAACCAGGTCGAAAATGTCGGTCACCTGTACAAACTAATTCTCTATCAACTCCTGTCATCAACTGAAGATTTTCATTCAGCTGATGTAGAATATGCGTATTGACAAAGTCCTCATCTTCATTGCTGAAGGCAAGAAAAACGGCAAATTCATAGTTACCATCACCCTGACGTAACAAATTAATTACATTTGCTCTATTTTGTAACCTTTTCCTATGCTTTCTTCGGATATAAAATATCAGAAGTGAAATTATAAGAATAAGTAAAATACATCCCGCCAAAATGCTTGTTGCAGTAATAATAACCTTCCTTCGACAAATCAACTTGACTTTCTTGACAGTCTCTTGTGTTATTATTTCTGTTTCATCCTTTTCATTGTAACAAATCAGTTGCTGTGAATCAAGATCAACAAGATTCGTTGATGTCAGCCAAACGAGAAATGATAGTTCTTTGCATTCTGAACACGAAATGGGATTTGCTTTTAAAATAACAATGATTTTCCTGATGTCTGAAACATTACCGTATGAAATGCTATTCAAGTTATAAATAGACATTTGGTCTAAGACATGAATATTGTTTCCATATAGATTTAGCATGGTAAGTCTCGACAATTTAGCCAAAGTAATGTGAACTTGATCTAATAAGTTACCCGATAAATCGATAATTTCGATATTCCTATTATTCTCGAATATTTTCTTCGGAAGTGTATTTAAACTATTCTTTGACATGTTAACTTTTTTTAAATATCTGAGACCAGAAAATAAAGTTTCAAACAACCCTATGTTCTCCCGGGACATTTTCACTAACTGATTGCTTGACAAGTCTAATTTTTGCAGATTTGGAAAGCATGACAATAAGTTTGGATGTAAAAACTGCATACCATTTTCAGATAAATCCATGCGACTGAATGATGAAAATTTAAAATTCTCGCAAATGACATTCACATCAAGCCACCTTAAATTATTTTGCCTCATGATCAATTCTTTTGTGAAGGTAAGAGGATCTACGTCTACGGTAAAATTGACGTTTTTTATCCAAATCGACGAAACGTGAGGAATAATACCGCTCGCATTTACAATTTCAGGAGTTAAAAATAGTTTGGCATTTTCCTGATTAGAAAGTTTAGAAAAACTAGTATTTGTATTCTCTATCACAAGTCTGCCTGGTGGAAGATGAAATACCTTCTTCGGAAGATTAACGAAACTCAAATCAACAAATTTTATGCGTTTCATGTCGCCTTGCTCTAAATAAGAAGATATGAAGAAACCAATATTACTATATGATGCATCCAAGACCTCCAAGAAGGCTAATCGTTTAAAAACGGCTGTAAAATTTATTGTTTTTATATCAGTACTACTCACATCCAAATACTGAATTTTCTTTGACTGAAGTACGTCTATGAGTTGGTTATCAAAAGACAACGGCTGTGAATCACGAGAACATTTTGATAATATCAATTTATTTAATTCCGGCAACTTATCAGATCCATTTAGAGCAGGAATTAAATCCTTCAATGTTAATTGAACACTCCTGCTTAAATCTAGAACGCCTACGTCTTTAACGCCAAGGAAAGTATTGGGATTCGTATAAAATGAGCATTCCATATGCATTCTTAATTCTTTCAATTGTTCCAAACCATTAAAACAATAATCTTGTAAAATCAAGTGACCTGCTCTAGATGGTAAGTCAACATTGATCTCTAGAAGTTTTACTTTATTCCAAGAATGGTCAATGAACGTAGACTTGTTCAGATACATGTTACCCACCAGACTCAAATTCAAATGCACTGTCGTGACTCCAACTGGGAGAGTCTTCGGTATAAAGTTACAAGTGAATGTTTTATTGTTGTCTTCAACACATTTGGTCTTCGTCGAATCATATTGAGAAAATCCGTTAGTGTATGCCATTAATTCTATTAACAATAATATGTAGGAAACATATTTAATAGTCATCATGTTTATCATCTTTTTACTTAGTGTATACCACATGAAAGCTCTCTTTGTAAATACTGCTTGAATTATCCAAGTAAGGTTTTAAATACATTGCAATTTTAACTTCATGAAACTCAATCCACGGAAAACCCCATATTTATGCACTAATGGTCACATATCATCGTCATCTATATAGAGCTCCACCTTCAGCTATAAAAATCATCGTGTACAATCTCTCAGAATTTAATCTGATGGTGGTTAAGTGTTTAAAACAAAATATTACCTCGATCTATATATTATATTATTACCCTTCCAGATATTGTCCGCCTTTTTGATTGGATATTGATCACCCAAAAGAAATTGATATATCCGAGCCAGACGGGTAATATACACACTCATTTTCCCCGTTTGGCACCCCACGTTGTAAACAACATGCGTTGTGGCGATGCGCGTACAGTTCTATTTAGGTGGCGTAAATTCCGATTTTCAAGCACCTTTAAACTGTAAAATGATAAATTTCTACCAAAATAGAGTAATGATACATATTCTTATCAGTATTGAAAACAAATATGACCTCGTGAAAGCTTAATATTAATTACAAAAAAGTGCGTTCAACAGACGACTCCATTTTTCTTGTGAACATTCGTTAGGTACGACGTATTTATGTGATGTCATGATGTGGTGAAGGGGTACCTTAAAGGCTTTCCTATTTCGTCGTTTCAGCAATGATACGTCTTAACTCGGCAGGGGAGGGGTAATGAAATTATTATTTTGGTTTTGGAGTGATATATGTGGATATATTACCTGCCAAGATAAAATATCTCCCCAGCCGTTAGGCTAGACAGGTAATATATCCACGTATATCACTCCAAAACCAAAATAACATATACTATTTTTTGAATATGCATTTGTTTTTAAATTTATTTATTTAGTTGCTTGGTTTTGTCGATGGTATGTGGTTATGGTCGAATGTTTTGTCACTAAAAATGTTATAACATTAAAAGCACATTATGCCTCAGAAATCCTTTTTTATTAAATTCTTTAGAAATGTAAAACACATGTTTGATAATGTTTTAATAATGGATTTTGAACATATAAGATATTTAACAGCTAAAGAAAGTAGTGCTGAATGTGCAGTAATGTGTTGTAAAGGTAACAAAATGTAAATAAATAGTATTTTGACTTCCATACAAAATACTAATTCATTATAATTATACCAATTGCCAGCAAAGCAAAAGATATAAAGATAGTTCATTTATATGGCAGATAAGTATTTTTTGTGAAACTTGTAACAAGACACCAAATATTTAAAATTTTGAGAAATAAAAATGATAGCATTTCTGACGCATAATGTGCCTTTAATACATTGGTTGGTGTCGATGTGCTGTATATGCATCAGATTAAAAATCAACTTTCAGTTCTGTTTTGTAAAGGTTGTAGGAGATTCGAATGAAAAATAGTTTACATTTTATATATGAATTATCGGCGCTACTGTATATCAATGTTGATTTAAACAGATAATTAAAGAAGTAGTGAATTTAAGCTATATTTTTAAACTCATTGATAACCTTTATTTGTTTGAATTGTTTTGAAAAGTTCTTGATATTTTAAACTGAATCACAAACTTTTGGCGGAATTGCAAAGATTGCATAAAACCACGGGTTTGATCATTTGATGTGCGTAAACTTGCCTTAAGTAACAATTATATTTAAAACTAATTTGGGTATATCAATCAGTATTTACACAGAGGGGTTTGATATGTCAAACATGAAGTAAAAACATGAAAATGGTATCTATCAAATGTTTTTTTTTCTTATGATTAGTTGTTAAAGGGACACTGATGTTTACTGTCATGATAGGACTTGAAATTGTTCTTCGAGATTATGAAACGCATAACTTGTGTTCATTCGCCAATTCCGTTTTTCCAAAATATTTTTCTTATTTTGAAAATTGAGCCAGAATCCGAAATTGTTGCGTTGCAACGCTTTTCATTCAAATAGGGCTAAAAGTAGCGCATAAAACACTACATATACTTTCATTTTTTTTACATTTTCTAATTTTTTTTGCATGTAATTCTGTTTTAAGTGCCTCTATTGAACAATGTTAGAAACAATTTTTTCTTAAGGATTTTTTTTATACCTTAGTGGATTTTCTTTTATGGTTTTAATGGTATACACTAGCGGATTTTCTTAATATGATTCGACGAAGACTTAAAATGTACATACTTATTTCATATAAATCCTAACACTTTCTTAGGCATTAATGACAAAGTCGTTCTGGATATAAGTAGGGAATAGAATTAACATTGCATAATTTAAATTCAGCTCTTAATGGATCGGATAAGTTGCCAGAATTGAATTAATTGATGTTTTGAGATTGCACAATTACAAAAGGCATCGGATTCGAGCCCTGTCTTTTAGACTGCAGACCAAGAAATTTACTATATATTGATTTACCTCACTCAGACGTAAATGGGTATTTGGCTTCAGTGGCGCCAGGAAGGCCGATAGATGAATTTTAGCAAAATTCACCAAGGGTTATGCTGCAAAGTTAGCACTGAACTTAGACTTTAAAATGCAATAACTGTATAATACCATCACATAAATACCTAATATAATGGTCAATAAATGAATGTAAGTTGAAAAAACAACATGACCTTCGCTCACTTAAAGTATATAAGAGACATACAGGAATTGCTATGAATACAATCAAGGATCAGAAAACTTTGTCCAAAACAAAAGTATACAACACTTATTTATCAGAACCAAAGTTGGTGATGTTAGACCAAGTGAATCGGCTCATGTGCTTTTGTAACGTTAAATCCGACTGGCCTGTTGGACCAGTCGGATTTTTTTCATTGGTTTAGGAAAATTTCTGGCAATCCAACCGAGTTATGAAGCTTCCCGTGTTGCTATTTAATTGTTTAGAATAATTCAAGTGACACATTAGCGACAAAAGACTAACAAAAATACATAAAACATTGTTTCAGCAGCCTTTCATCATGTTCATTTTTTTAACAATAAACAAATATGGACAAAATCTTTTACATCTTTTGGCATTTTGGCATAATTAACTTGATAATTGGAAAACAAATCATACCTTTAAAGCAGATAATTGACTGAAACAAGGGTTTGCAATTATAGACTGTCTGTACTAATAGTAAAACTTCCGTTTTGAGCATTTAATAATCAACAAACTTTTAATTTTAGTAAATTCATTTGTTACAACGAAAATATTTTTAGTATATCTGTATGAAAGAAAGAAATTCATGAACGGAAAATAAACAAAGAAAAACCAGTCCAGTATGCCAAACACTACATCACATTCTAGTTAAAGTCTGCCACTGGTTCATCTTCATATCTTCTTCGCCATTGGGCTTGGGTTCGAGTCTAACACGAGTCAAGCATACTACAATATAACAACAATAAAACAATATAGTTTATTAAACAACAAGCATGTTACAAAGTAAAAAATACACAGATATAAGGAGATCACAGTTAACATGATTATCAAATCTTGAGGATAGTTAACTTTTATTATAAGAAGAATGATTGGTCATTTAAATATGAACTGAATTACCATAGATCCAGCTACATAAGATTTCTTTTATACCTCCCGCGCATAAATTGGGCCTTTCGTGTGCTTGTATGTTAAACAGTATAAACAGATAGAAAACAAATAATAAAAAATAGTAGTTGTTTTAGACTGAACATACATGTACTGTAACAACTTTTATTTACGCACCGAGACTTAAATTCGCAGAGAATGTAAATTTAGCTACATAATAAATAGTATTATTCGAAAGTGATGATAAAATAACCTCAAATTTCTTAACATTCCGCAAGTGACAAAAGAAAGGCTGAACTATATTTTCTTAATGAAAAAAAATCAAAATATCTACAAAACAACGATTTTCTTCAAATTTATCTGTTAGGCCATGTTTTAACATGGAAAAACGCTATTTTGGGTAATTTCAAGTATTTTCATCATTTTCTGTTAACTCATTACGCGATCTATACGCCTTTTAATGCCTTTTTCACCCCCCCCCCCCCCCTTTTTGGTGTCTGAAATAGTGAAAAAAAATTAGGCCCCAACACTTGTTTTTTGTTTGAGAAATGTTGTTTTAAAATCAGGGGGTTGCCAGAAGGAGGTGTGCCCCCTTCTGTTTGGGGGGTTTGAAGGGGGGCGGAGTCCCCCTCATCGCCAAGAAAATTTTGGACTTGTGAGAGGCTAAAAATGAACCCAGATCGATCATAAGGTAACGATCAACCAACGCTGAAAAGCATTTGACTCTATCTCAATCCATTGAGAAGTTGCAGCACTTTGAAGTCAATTTTGATGGAAAAAATCAACGCAAAATAGTGATTTTTGGCAATTTTGAGATGTCCCCTCGTTGCCATGGTAACAGGAAATTTCAGTCTGAGCATGTTGTTGCAAAGGCAATGGTCCAGTTAACATTTGTGCCAAGTTTGATTAGTATTGAAGCAGTTTTTATAGTTTTATAGCAATTTGAACTTGTAACGGGAGACTTTTCAATAAAAACAGCCATTTTTCACAAAATGCTCATGAAGTAACGGGTTAAATCACGATAAAAAGAACGAAAATTCGATTTGATTTCATTTTACATAACTACACAATCTATCCTCTCTTTGAATATTGTTATATCTTCCTTTTTCTATTTTCAAACTACAGTGTATGTGATTCAATACTTATTTTCGTAAATGATATTAAGGTATTTTATGTTTAAATTCGCGCACGAATGAAGTCGAATCGAACTATTTTCTTCCTCATACCATTTTTACACGTATGAGTCATAAGTCATTTTTTAAATTTCATCAAACAAAATACCGATTTCAAATTGGTGTCCAACCCATGGCTATCTAGTATAGTCTTGATTAGGTTCGCCCAATTATTTCTATTGTAATATTTATCTAAACTCTGTCATATTTAAATATCTGAAATGCCAGTAAAATCAAATAATCTAAATTATGTGATTATGTTTTCATGTGTGATATCTTGTGTAGTACAACATTAATAATTAACTTATTGAAATTTAAATGATAATACAAAAATAATATTTTATCAATCTCTTTGATATTTTCCGCAACCCTGAATGGATAAATGGGTGATTTTTGACAGATTAATAGAAATTAGAAGTGCAATACCTCTAAGTTGGTGTTTGTATTGTTCTCAATATTGAAGAAGCGTGACAATATGTTTACAACAAAAGCAATGATTTTTGAAAAAGGCAGATATACTCAGCATATTTTTTATTTATAGTTCACCAATCGAAAATTAGAATCATTTAAATACCTTTGAATTACTCTCCTTATAAAAACAACAACAATTGTTTAGAAATCAAAACAGAATAGCTTAACATGCCAAATT